AGTAAGTAACCGGAAGAGCGACAAATCCGAGAGAAAAATATGTTAACATAGAAGTTTCGGTTACATTTAGCAATTTCAATTGTAAAATGATGAGACCTTGCCGCCAATCTAGTACTGCGCTGAAATTCATAAAGTCTAGGTAGCAAAGAGGAAGACCATCCAAACAATTACCATAAAAATATTTACAGAAAAAACACAGGGAAGTCACATTCGGCGTCGGGAAGGTGACTGAAGACGAGATTCCAAGTCACGACTAATAATATTGCAGATTCTTCTTTGTATTTTCTCAAGCTTCTCTGAATACAGAGCAGCAGCACCAGACCATATGTGACAGAAATATTCCGAGTCAGATAGAGACAGAGCAAAAATCGTGTCTCCTAATTAATGCATGAGTAACTGAAACCCCAAAACGAATCGTCCCGTCGGACGATCTCATTCCTTAGTTTGTTTGTTTTTTTTTTGTTTTTTTTTGGTGTCGGTGGGGGGGGGGTTAGACATTTTCATGACGGTCGTCCTCGAGTATAGAATCCAGAGGTTGGCAGTGAATATTTCGGAGACAGTAGGAAAGAGTAGTGCAGGTTCGCAGTGGATATCGTAGCAGAGCGTAGTTCTTCCGTCTGTCATGTTCGCCGGACAAGTTTCCTCTGGTCCTTCCGATAGGAGAAACAAAGATGGCCGCCTTTATACACGACGAATACAGTGTTGTGCGGCTTCTGATTGGTCAACCTTCTATTGGTCGACTATAAAGGGAAATAAGTCATTCTGACTCGCTCACTAGTTACATGGACATATATACCCAAAAAACCGTAACAGGGGGCGCCTGTAAGATTTATATTCGACATTAACACGTTGGCTCCCAAGCCTCATTTCCATTGTTGTACCAAAATTATATCATAATTAATTTTGGTACAAGCGACTTTAAGTTTTAACACTGTTTCATATGTGAGGCGAGGATATCATAGGTAGTATTTATTACCCACGACCCACCAGTGGAGCGTTCGGTACCTCAGTCCATTTTACAACCCAGAGCCCCACACGACCCATCCGTGGGTCGTTGAAAAATTGAAACTAGCTTTAATTTTCTATATTCAAAAATATTTAAATTTTGGGATAAAAAAAAATGTGGTTCTGGTGTATCAAGATTTTATAAGCAACCAATCGTAAAATCCCACTCCCAATAATCGTTATAGAAAATAAATTAGAAACGAACCACCGGAGAATCGGTCTTGCAGACATACCACCACGGCCGTCCGGTGGATCGTGTAGGAGCCAACGTGTTAAGTAACCTAAGGGTTAATACGTCGTTAAATTAACAAGCCCTACCTAACCCTACTAAATTTTTTGTAAAGTCTTTTTCCTTGTTCCTAGGCGTCTTTAGATTTCTGTATGGCACTTTCCGACGTTTGTTAAACCTTTGAGCCATCGTTCCTGAACAATTTTAAAATTAATTTAAAAATTTAAAACAATCTTAACCCTTTTGCTTGAGTTTCTGAGTCAAAATTCGTAAATAATAGGTAATGTCTCACGGTAGATATACAAATAGTTACAACTGTTTACCCACCGTTCAACCGGTAGCTGGGCATTAAGTCATTTTTCTTTACCAGTTTAACCGGTGGCTGGACATCACGTCATTTTTCTCTACCACCGGTAAATCGGTGATCAGGGCTTAAAGGGTTAATGCAGACAGTCGGATTTCTTCGGGTGCCTGATTTTGATGTTGTTCCCTCCCTACGAAATTCACATACTTTAACGAACAACCACACATTCTGTCTTTTAACAATTAACGTTTGATGCTTTCTTCTTGCCTTTCATCGACAATGTTTTCATACATTTTTTTCCTTCTGAATCTGCACATCAAATCAGTGTTTATCTGAGACGCGTACATTTTTAAGGTTACGCTGATCATTATCAAGGGTAGTGTGAAGGAAGGACTCAGAGAATACACAACAAGTGCGAATATACCACTGATTAAACTACCTGCAGTAGTAACTGAAGTGAAACGACATAAATAGGTATATAATCAGTACTTAATATTCTCTCAGACTTTCCACTCAGCCTAGTATGAAACAGAACCAAAAATCAGGGCGGCGAATATAGCACGCAATGGTGAACACGTCCGTGTGTCCGAATGCAGGAAGGTTTTGTGGAGATTAAAGGCTGCGTGTTGGTGTATCGTAAGTGGAATGTGTGTTCATATGTAAACAATTAAAGAAGAAGCATACAAAAACTTGTGTTTCTACCACAGACCGTTTATTCTCCCTTTTTATATAAACTATAGTGAAAGAAATGTTTCAATGTCTCTTGGGTATGTCCGTTTTCTTTTTGGTCCCGAAGTTACGTGAAGGAAGGATAGTCATCATTATAATGATCGAACTCCAGTAAGCCTAGCGCTGAACTGGAACGACCAAAGAAAAGTTATACTTACTTCATTATTGGAGGTTTAAGCATGGTTATAATAGTCGAGCTCAAATCGGCCTTGCGCTGATTTGGTGCAACCAAAGAAAAAAAGTTGATTTAATTAAGTAGGTGGAGGTTTTGGAAGGCACGCGCGAACACCATGCATTTGAAAGTGGAAAGAGAGTTCAGTCGTCAGTGGAACAGGGAAAATGAAGTGCCCCAACGGGGACATCATTTTTCCACGTCCGTAGAAAGGAGAAGAAAGAGAGAGAAACGAAAATGTTTGCCTTTTTAGACTTAAACGGCGCCGCCTAATGGGCGTTCGACGAAACCAAGTGGGGTAATGAAATGTCCAGTTTCTTCATTACTAACATCATGGGAGAATGTATTTTCTTTTTTTTTTATTTATCATTATTTTATTTATTGATTTTTTTTCATTTTCCCACAAGTTCATGAATTCTGTATGAAATGTAATGATTATAATGGAACATAGCTCACAAAAATGGCTGTATCCCATAATATTTGGTATATTTAATGTATGGAATTTAAAAGGTTACGTGTTGGTGTCTATTGTAGATGGGGTGCGTGTTCATATGTAAACAATTAAAGAAGAAGCATGCAAAAACTTGTGTTTCTACCACGGAGCATTTATTTTCCTTTTTTATATAAACTATAGTGAAAGAAATTTTTCAGTATCTCTTGGGTGTGTCTGTTTTTTTTTTTTTTTTTTTTTTTATTTTTTTTTAGTCCAGGAATTAGGGTAACTATCAGCATCGGTATAATGGTCGACTTCAAGTCAGACTTGCGCAGAGTTGGAACGAGCAAAGAAAAGTATATACTTACTTTACGCGAACCCCATGTGTTGGAAAGTGGAGAGAGAGTTCAGTCGTCAGTGAACCAGGGAAACGAATGTTCCCAGCGGGGACGTCCTATTTATACGTCCAACTATATCTGGGAGCAAGGAGGTGAAACCAGTCTTACAGATGGGTAGTTTTGATTCCAAACGAAAATTGTATTCTTTAAGGCAAATTGATAATAGATTACTTCCTTTCTTGTAATTGCTGTGGACAGGTCAGGTACATAACAGGGAATCTTATTCAACTGAAAACTGGCTTCACCGAAAGCATCAAATCGATTCTTCACTTCGTCAAATGGTTCACATTACAGAATAATCAAAACGTAGATAATTGAAGGGAGATAACTTGTACATCTGAATAGTACTTTTCGTACAAATTAGATTTGATTATTATTTATTTAGGATGATGAATTATTGACAAGTCCGTTGGTTTGTTTAAGAGGATTAATTAATGTTTAATTCTCGTAAGTCTACGAAATTTTCTTTATTGTCGAACAATGAAATTAGAATATAGGTAAAAAATTATTAAATTATAAGAAAATAAATAATAAATAAAAATAATTAAATATTAAAATAAATAAAAATAAATATTAAATAAAAAATAGATATTTAAATAAATATTAAAATAAAAAGTAATATTTAAATATGAAAATAAATATTAAAATAAATAAATGTTAAAAAGTATAAATAATATTAAAATAAATAAATAAGTATTAAAATAAATAAATATTAAAATAAATAAATATTAAAATAAATAAATATTAAAATAAATAAATATTAAATAAATAAATAAATTAAAATAAATAAATATTAAAATAAATAAATATTAAAATATATAAATAAATATTAAAATAAATATTAAAATAAATAAATAAGTATCAAAATAAATAAATATTAAAATATATAAATAAATATTAAAATAAATAAATATTAAAATAAATAAGTAAATATTAAAATAAATAAATATTAAAATAAATAAATATTAAAATAAATAAATATTAAAATAAATAAGAAATATTAAAACTGATATTAAAATGAATAAATATTAAGATAAGTAAAAAAAGAAATACTGTAATATTAATTACAACTGAAAACTTTTTAATATTTTGAATGTGAGAAATATTTAACTGAGTTTGTTTTTCGTCAAGTGAATAGTTTTTAAATATTCTTTGGATAAAACCAAAATATCGAGTAAACTTTATTACGTGTATAAAGATTTCAGTGATAAATTTATAGACACAAATAACAGTGTAAGTTTTTATTTTAAATGATACATAATTACAAAGAAAAAATTACTATTCATTCAGATATATAAAGTTACCTCCCCTTAACTTTTGATTTTTCGGTAAAATGAAACATCAAAGTGAAAAATCGATTTTAACGCTTTCGGTGAAGATAGTTTTCATGCAAATGACATTGGCTCTTATGATTGTCGCTTGTTGCGGACAACGCCCGAAATGAATCTATGAAATATTTTATCCGGATGTGCGACAAGAAAATTCAAAAATTGGGAAAATACAATAAAAACAGAGAAATCTAGCCGCCTGGAGTTTACAGTGTCTTTATAGGACTTCTTGCTGTTTAAATATACAATATTTAAACTGTAACGGATATGAGCGCGGAAAATGGGATCGAAGATCGAATTGCGTGCTAGTCAGTTACGTTCACTTTTGCGCAACTGTCCTTGGAAAAGGCATGAATCCATGTTTTCTCTCCTATCTGCTATGGATTAAATAGCAGTGTAGACTGGGATAGATAGATAGATAGATAGATAGATAGATAGATAGATAGAAAGAAAAATATACGGAAAAAACAAACAAAAATCCTAATATGCAATTATGCTGTTTTAATGTTAATATAATGTCAACGTCGGACGTTTCGGTCTAGTAGACCATCTTCAGGACATATTTATAAAACATAATTAACATTAGACTATTTAATTCAAACGTCCGACGTTGACATTATATTAACATTAAAACAACATAATTGCCTATTAGCATTTTTCTTCATACTGTCGGATCTATATCCATATCTTTGCTTACATAGATAGATAGATATGAAAAGGCATAGATACATATGAACAGGCATAGATAGATAGATAGATAGATAGATAGATAGATAGATAGATAGATAGATAGATATGAACAGACTGTGGCAGATAGATAGATAGATAGATAGATAGATAGATAGATAGATATTAACAGAATTAGATAGTTCACACTCCTCCTCGGTCTTTTGGACAGGACTAGATGCTTATCTTTTGTTTCCGGTTTAGGATTGGGTTTCCGGTTCTTTCTAAAGTTTTCTCATTTTCTTTCACTTCCTTTAGCCCCCTTACGTCTTAGTGGCATTATCGCCTTACTCGGAGTGAACTGATCTAAAAAGAAATAGATAGATAGATAGATAGATAGATAGATAGATAGATAGATAGATAGATGTGAAAAGACTTAGATTGAGGGATGTCGACGAAAATATTTGAAATGATAGGTATATCATCCTGGTAGGCGGAGATCTGGCAAGGTAGTGAAAGAGACGACAGGTAAGAAGCCGCACATGATTATGAACTTATTCTTAAACAAAAGAAATACCGCTTCAATGATTGGGAATACAAGCAATTATTTACAGTATATATAAAGCAAATTGGTAAGTGTATTTTCACGGACAGACAGTGATGAATTTACTCGTGTGTTCCTCGACACAATGCCTCGTCTATATATGCTAATTATTTTACGGCACTGCCACTCGTGTCTTTTTCGCCCTCCCAGAACGTTAACAACATTCAATTTCCAAATTTCATTTGCACCGTCACGTTTTTATCACCTACCCGTCTCTCTCGCTTGTATTGTTTTCTTTCTTCATTTTTCTTTTTGCCATGTCATCGTGATTGTCGGCTTGAACCTGTTGAAACGATAGAAACAGATAATGGCAAACGAACATGCCTATTTCATCTGGGTACACCGGGCCTTTCTCTCCTTTAGTTTGACCTCCGACCTTTTCAACCCGTAATTTACAAGCACATTCAAGGGGTAAAATACCTACAATCCTGGTCTATAAACCAGGATCCTCTCCCTCGTAAGAATGAAGAATAGTTATTGCAGTAGCCATTAGTTAAAATTTGCCATATTGCATTCCTGAGCGTTGTACTAACCTAGTGGCGTTAATGATTTTTCATAGTCACAATTAATATAGTAAAAAAAAAATAATGTCAGATTACAAATAAAAAATGTCATTAATTCCTTAGAAATTAGAATTAATGTAGTAAATAAATTTCCAATAATTGTGTTAAAAGTTAAACCTGCAATTAATTCATATTTTTGCAACAAAAGGTTTGTAAATCTAAAACTTTTGATAATCAGAGAGTGGCAGCTGATCTCACCTCTGACCTCGCTCTTACAATTCAGTGGAGCGAAAATTGGTTGGTTTCATTTAAGATCTTGAAAACCAAACTAGTAATATTCTATCAACGCTGACTGGACCCAAAGCTATCACCAATCACGATGAACGGATGTTCCTTCACGAAGACCTTGAGCGCCTATTGGGACATAAACCCAGATTTTTTTTTAATCATTTCACTCGAAGCACGGCAATAAAGCCACTAGGACCCAAGAGGTTAATGAGTGTTAGAAAACATGAGAAAAACTACTATTAAGGAGGAAGGACAATAAAAGAACAAGATTTACGAAGACAGAAGATAACGATTGATATGGCATTTAAATTTTTGAAGATCAAAGTTGACTGAGAAGCAAGAAGCAGGAAGAGAGTTCCACAAGTGAGAAGTGCGATAGAAGAAACTGTTAGCATAGAACTTACGGTTATATTAAGCCATTTTAACTATAAATTGGTGAGACCTCAAGTGACACTCGTACATAGGATTCATCGCTAAAGATGCTGGGAAAATGGTTGATTCCCTTTACTGCTCCAGTAAATATCTGACTTCTCCTGCTATCCTCTATCTTTACAAGAGTCAAATCAGACCAAATATGGAATACTGTTGCCATATATGGGCAGGAGCTGCCCAGTCTTCAGTTTCCATTCTCGATAGAGTCCAAAAGCGTCTTCGCGTTCTTGTGGGTGACAAATTATTTCCACACTACGTCCCCCATTCTCACAGATGAAACATCGCAAGCTTCTATCGCTATTTTCCAAGTGCTCAAACGAACTACATTCCTTAGTTCAACTAGTTCTGACTTTCACTGCTAATACCCGCCATACTACACACATTGTAGTGAACCACCTTCATTCCTTTCGTATTCCATTATGTCAGTCTTCTTTCACTGGGCCTTTTGCTGTCCTTGTCATTTTCCGTAATATCCCATGCTGCAGATTTCGAAGTCGACCATAGTTTGGTCAATTCAAAACACTTCCAGTACTTTGAAACTTCAAAAGAAATTCCGAAATGCTGCTTATTGACATTCCTAGTTCCTTAGCGATAGCTTGTTGGTTCGTTCTTATCCATTTTCAACTATTTAAAAGTTTTTTCTAAACTAAAGAACCTTCTGTGAACCAAAGACAGAAAGACTCTAACCCAACTAAAGCCGATCTTTTTTACATTTAACTCTTTTAAATTCATGTATTTATGTTTGTAAACACAAATGATTTATTTAACAACAGACATATCAATCTTTTCTTTATTTCTATCAACACTGAAAGCCGCTAGAGTTGAGTCTAAATTGTTTGAAACACAAGCCCAAGATCGTATCAATTGGCAATGTTCCATCATCATCGGAACCAAAATCTTCGAAGTCACAAGAAGAGAAAATGAAGTCAAACGACAAAAGAGAAAGGTTCCGCCAAAATCCCTATGAAGTCAATGTCATCGATTCTTCAATACAAGAATTGGTCTACTTCGTCATCAACGCCATCATCATAAAGGAAGGGATCAACAAAGAAATTAAATTCTTGAATACGAGATAAAGCCGATGAGAACGATTTTATTATAATTTGGAATTCGGATTTTTAATATAAAAAAACCTGGACGACTGAATTTCCTATACTTTCTTCATTCTGGTTTCTTTATATATTCTCATGATTTCTCGTAGGTACCACCACAAATACGCAATGCTGAAACTTTGAAATGAATTTTTAAAACTGAAAAATCTTACTTGCAGCTGTTATGTTGGTTTTAATTTCAAGATTAAATTTAATATTTCCAATAAGCAAGGTACTTTACTGTATTACAAAACTAATTTAAATTGACTGGAAGGCGTTTTTGTTTTGAAATTACTAAAATTGCTGATTTTAGCGCCATTTTAGCCATTTTTCATCACAATGTAAATCTCTTTATCAAAAAACCTTTCAAAAAAGAAATATACTTTCCTGAAACTTTACTTGAGGAATATTTGCTGATTTAAAGTTTAATTAATTTGATTTTAAACAAATATTACTTACTTTTAGTTCAAAATACCGCAGAAATGCATTTTTAACACGGTGGCAACTGTTTAAGGTTTTGACAGGATGACCGTTTGACTGACAGACGGAAATTTATGTAATTTTTTTCTAACTTGGATATATCTGTAAAACTTAATTGAGAAATATAACGTGAGCAACTTTTTATATAATTTGTAACAACCCAGTAATCTTAAAAATATGGAAAAATATTCTCTTTAATCTAATGTTTAACTGAAGTACTTTGGTTTCAAATTTACTATAGTTATCACTCATATTTTCTGATAATGCTGTGTATAGATGTCCATATTTACAAAAATTGTCACATTTAAGGACACACACAAAGAATTTCAAAATACTTTTTAAAGTATTGGTGATCGATGAAAAGATTTAAAACTTTATAACCGGGTTTAAGATTCTTACAGATCCTATTTCTGTAACCGGGTCTCTGTAATCTATCTGTGTAACCGGGTCTCTGTAACCTATCTCTGTAACCGGGTTTAAGATTCTTACAGATCCTATTTCTGTAACCGGGTCTCTGTAACCTATCTCTGTAACCGGGTTTAAGATTCTTACAGATCCTATTTCTGTAACCGGGTCTCTGTAATCTATCTGTGTAACCGGGTCTCTGTAACCTATCTCTGTAACCGGGTCTCTGTAACCTATCTCTGTAACCGGGTTTAAGATTCTTACAGATCCTATCTCTGTAACCGGGTCTGAGTGATGTTCATTGTAGTTTCTTGCTGTTTACTTCCTGTAAAAGTTGCATATTTTCCAGTGCAGATATTGGTCCGTTCTATCATGCCGAGTTTTATAATCAGTGGGTGCCAACACATTGCAACCTGATACAAGATGGTCAACTGTTTCTGGATATTTATCAAAGTCTCTGCATTTGGAGTCAAAATTTTTAGTATATGTGCTTGGTAATTTCTAGTTAGCAATCATTGGACTTCTGTAGCACGAATAAAACATTCGGTTTCAGCTTTTAACCCATTTTAGGTACGGGGTTGATTTCTGGTGTGTATACATTTCTTCGCGGGTCCCACCCAGAGACCTAAGGTTAGAAATGACACCATGACATTTTCCACTGACCAATTAAAAAAAAACGCATACACACATATTTTACATAGATAAAGCCCTTCGTAATGTGTGAGTTGTACTCCTGAGAACAATTTTTTGTATTTCTTTAAGGCATCGATTTCCAGGAATCTTTTCCAACCAATCCGAGGGGTCTAACTACAACAGGGATTGTTGATGTTCCCATGTGCCACATTTTTTGAGATTTCGATTTCAAGATGATTGTATTTTGATAGTTTTTGAAGATCTTATGCATAAGATTGTTAAAGTTATTCAAATTTTAACAAGATAATTGATGTTAAAAATTGCTGCTAAACATCGTTGATTTATTTTAGAGGGAATGATCTATTATGACATGTCACTAATTTGTATTTAGATACATTGTATCTATTTTCAATCTTTCGAGCTGAATTGTTTACCTATATTGCATATGATCCATTATTTTACATAATAGGTTAGAATAAAATTTATATTTTATATGAATACTGTGACATTGAGGCCATGGGGTGGTTAAATGTGTATTCTGAGCAGAAAATGGTTAAATCCAAAATGGAAGAGAGGGAGAGAGCGGGGGAGAGAGAGTGGAGAGATTTTTCCTTGGTGAAAATGGGACCGTCTGGATTTCTTCCAAAATTTATTTTTTCTTATCTATCGAGAGTCTGGCATGCGGACGAAAATAGATTTGAAGAAATTGCTTTATCTCTTTCTTGAGGAATTAGGAAAACACATATTGTGATGCGTGTTCTTATCGCATATATTTATTGTACATTTAACAAGAAAAAACAACGAAACTCTACTTGTGGATCAACAAATATATATATATATATGAAATCTAACATACAAAACAATCATGCAATGAAGTGTAATGATTAAGGAAAAAAAAGTTGTTCCCCTTCAACTGTATTCTGATTTATGATTGAATGTTCGAAAGAGTTTCTCTTGAATATGAATGTTCAGGATTCTATGTTGAATAGAGTTTGCTGTTAGAATAGAATACAGTTAATTAAGAAATGTGTTGTTTAGAGAAATTAATAAAGTTTTGGTTCATGAACTTGGCTGAGTCACAGAGAGAGATATGTATAACGTGTTACAAAAATCTGCGTCTGTGTGCGCGTTTGGAATATTGTGAGTAAAGTCGTAGATTTGTGTGGACAGGCGAAATAGCTGGACTCTACTGGCGGCTTGTGGCAAAATTGCTTCTTTTAAAGGTACCGGTAGGCTCCGAGCGAAAACGCGGGAAAAATTGATTTAATATTAAAATATTTGATTGTTTAAAATTTGACCAATTACATGTGAGCAAGTTCACGACCGAAAAATTCAAAGTGATGACTGCGATTGCTAAATTGTCTTATAGAAAAGCAGTATTGATTTACTAGCCAATCACAGAGGAATAAATTGTGGGCGTGGAGAAGCATAGC